TAAATAATTGTGTGGTATTTGAACAGACAAAGAAAGTCCTATTTACTGGATTGCCACAAGAAATGGAATTTGCGAACAATCGCATTCGACAGTACTAATGAGATTTGCCGAATGATTTGAACTCCCATGCGCCCCTGACTGTATTGTAGAATTTATCCACACACACACACACACACACACACATATACCTGCAAACACAGACAACACTTACGCCTATTCTATTTCCTTGAACCATGTGATTTTGCAACCGATAAAGTAGTGCTGTAAATAAGACACCCAAAACTTCTTTTTGCGGAGATCACGGTTTCCACTTTCTCTCTCCCTCCCTTTGTGTTTGTGGTTGTGTGTATAAAATGTTGTGTATAACGAACTGAACTGAGCTTTCGACTTGTCATTTTGATTCCTCTTTTTAGAAGACACACACAAACACTTGAATTACCTCCCTGTCTGTGGGATGACGATCGATCGTGCATGTTACCATTCACCTGGAGGCGTCAAATTCTGATCCAGATGTTCTTCACATTATTACAGCAATCATTTGATTTCACAGGAAAGTTCTCCTCGCAACACACACAGAAAATAATAAATACGCACGCCAAGAATGCGAACACAGACAATGAAAGCGACAGTGCGAGAGAGCTGCGATGCGATGAACAGACGCATAAACGCGTGCCAGTGGATGCGTGAGTTCTTGTTGTTCTTTTTGTTGTTGTTGATGGTGGTGGTGGTCATGGTGGTGTTTTGTGCAAGGAAATGTTTGACAAATGAAAAACTCATATGAATGAGGAATGGTATTGGCTACCGAAATGAACATCCTATGTAGCAGTGTTACAAACTGTAATTGGTGGTAGTGTATAAATGGCATTGCTTTTACTTCATACGTATTACCCCAGTTTTTCAAAATTAGGGAACACCCTAATCGCTGGCATTCTCTTAGCTCCTTCTTGGTCTCAGCAGGTGATCAGTTGTTCTTGCCCCGCGATTACAACATGAGCCAGTCGTTCTGGCGGTCAGCATTGTGTCACACTGACTCAGTGTCTGAGTTTTATCTAATTCATGACTATCCTTTTACTAGTGTCATGCTCAGGCACGAACGTACAATGCAACCAAGTCATTGCCTATTAGCTTAGTCCTATTTTGTTTGCACAAGTTGATCTGTCATACATGTCCTCCACAGGCTGACTGCTCTCCGGCACAGATCTAATGCGAACAAAACTTGATACAGCTCTTGCTGGAGGCTGTTTTTGAGTGGACAGACAACAGACTATCTGAGTGCATATTCAACATTGTTCCTGTAGCCTTGATGAGAACCGTTCACTAACAGCTGTGGAACATATCGTGATTTGAAAGAAGTGATCGGACACAATCAATCAAGTGAGAATAGTGAAACTAACTTATTTTGTCAGTGAATGAGCCAGTGTACTTTTTCATTGCCGACTCCGTTTCGACCGGTTCTACTGTAAGCTCACACGGTGAGCACGATGTCGTGGTTGAAACCCTCCATTGATTGGTTTTTACATATTTGATAGTCTTCTCATCTTCCTTCGGACCGAATGAATAACGATAATGAGGCTTTACACATGGATTTGGGTTGAGAACACGAATTTCGTAGGTTGTAGGATCCTCTTTGTTCACCGAAATTTGAAGATCGTAGGGTTCTTGGTATTGGGATATTTGTGTACGGCATAAAAAAGCACAAATCATATAAAAGTTTTTGTCTACATGTGATGGAATGGAGCAGTCGGGAAACAGAGTGCGTTCAAAACGGGAATTAATAATAAGTGCCATCTCACTATCCTCAATCTTTTCTGATCAAAGTTTATGCTGAAGTATAAGCAGTTAAAAATGTCACGCGATGTGATTGATTAGGTATGAATCTATTCCCTCTTTGTCTAAACAAATGGTTTTAACTTTCACTCAGTCTACCGAGCAATATTCATTGCTAAAAGTTTAATTATGATCGCATGAACACGATTTATTTGTATTTGCGCCAGGAGATTTCGTTGTTTGAATGAATTGATTCGCAAACGTACCGACTTCCAGGCGCTTTTTGGGGACGTTAGTTGTTATCATTTGATCTGAGAGAAAGGGTAAAATGCTTAGAAACCGTTTCCCGCATGGTGGAGTTTCGTAGATTGTATAATTCATTCTGACATCGTAGAATTTTTCACGTTTGTCAACGATGGTACCAGTTTCAGGGCGAAGCCTTATTGTGAAAGGGGATCCGTACACCTGCTGCTTTTTCTGGTCAGTACCACGACCGCCATTCATCCAGAAAATCAGTGCACAGTGTCCTCTTGTAAGGAATTGGGCAGAGATGAAGGTTTCCGTTGGTGAGATGGCTTTGAATTCCGTTACTTCTGGTACTGAAAACAAAAATTTCAGAAATTATATTGCCTTTGATATAAGATCTCAATTTCATTTGCGGAGGCATAAAACAGTTGGTTAGAGTTTCTTGGTGTTACAGCCTAAATGTTCCAATAATAGATTGCTTTTTCATTATGCCTGATCCAGTTCGGTCAATGTATCCCGACCAGTGTGTTCACAATGCGACCCACATGATACTACCTTCGATCCCTTGACAAACCAGAAAACTTAATATTATGACAGATTGTATCTTGCGCGGTTCAACTCGGTTACCTTGATGATAGAAGTTCACAGTTCTGTTGAACAAACGGGTCCACTGATCTCGAATTGTTCAAGAAACCGTCACTGCGCAGTGTGACATGTGACCAAACATGTGGAACACGTGACCCCTTAACCATTCGCTGCTCGCACGCTCCGCAATCATTGTGTGCCCATTCAGATTGTACGGTTCGTTTTTCAACCTTAAGTTTGATCTTACTTGCCACGGAACAAAATATCTTAGGAAAGTAGGAAAGTTTGATACCCTAATACCTCGGATATTATGTTATACTTCCAGTAATAGAGTCATTCGTCTCTTGAAATTTTCGCTAGAAAGAGGATCAACGATTTGACCTGAACCAAAGAATGTTATAGGAAATGGAATTTTCTGCACGTTGTCTACTAGACAGATGCAGGAAACCGGTCTCAAATCAACACCGACGGGGTTGATTGCAAGTGGGCGGTATTTACAAACTGAGGTACACACCTTAGTTGGTAAACGAGGAATGGGTCATCAAATCCCATTTGTTTACATGAATTTAAGTCAGTCAACAACACACATATACAGTGCGTCTCTTCGACTGTTGATACAGTTTGCGCCGAAATTGTTCTACTGTGAGAACAGAAAAATAAATAAATATTTCCATAAATTCCCTCGCCCTCTTCTCATTATCTAGTACTAACACTGTCTCAACTAGCAGTAATAATTGTTTCCAGGTATCATTAACTCGTTTGCCAAACAATGCGTTTCGTCGTGGCTAAAAATGTACCTCCATTGGCAAAAGAGTATAACTATTACAAAGAACCGAACATCAATTAATCTAACTTGCATAGATGGATAGATACATAAACATTTATACCAATTAACGGAAAACCGGTAGCATTCCAGGCAACCGGTTCACATGACATTTCACTAATAGCTTTGTGTTTTCTCTACATCGCACTTTTCGTAATCATAATATATTATGTCATTGACCAGTCGATATGTCATCGAGAACAAGCTTATTTGCTGCCTGCAATTATTAAATGAAGAACAACATACAGTGTTCCTTCACTAGAATGGTTTATCCGTAATTTCGATTGGCAGGTACTTCTGGTGGGAATGTTCTGTGAAAACACCTACGCGTCACCTCTCAAATAGATAATGTCTGACTTGGTTGAGTGCTGACAAGGCTAGATGGGAGTGAGGTTTCAAAAGACATGGTCAGAACAAATCCTATTGTTGAAATGCGGGAGTCGTCCTGTCCACTGCGTCCACTCACAGGGCACTGGTCAAAGGATGTAAAAATCCTGGTTTATACATTTAGCTACTAGTAAAACATAGACAATCCTACTGTGGTGCGATCACGAACCGGTTATTTCGTAACTCGTCCGACTTTTGCTCCAAACGCGATCATGAAAAGTAATTGATAAATTTAAATAATTTATTGCTTGAATTCGCTCATTAACGCTACCAATAACTTAATAGTAATGTTAGTAAAGTAAAATCTAATATTTCGTCAACCGGGTTAGTGGCAGCCTGGCGGTGAAGCTAAACTATTGCCCCGGAGGAACCATGCTTAAATCTTACTACCACCGTTTTGCTTTCACTCATGTGTGTTACATGGCAGCCGGTTGCATAGCCACTATTCTCTTTCTGAAGATTGTATGGTTGTACATTCAATGAGAGAAAATAAACTTGAAAATGAAAAAAGTCTCGCACAGCGAAGCGTTTGCGATGGTCCATGTTTGAGGCGCCACATATGACGACTGATGGTGAAAATGAAATCACTTCAAACCCAAGGTCTTTCAACCATATATATATATATATATATAAAGGAAACCCAGAAATACCGATTGCTACGGGATAATAACGGGTTTCCAGTTTAGACGGTTTCAAAATGCAAACAGAATTTAATCAACTTAACACAATCTCAGCTCTTAGAGAAAATTGTCAGCGCAACCCGAGGAACAAAATGTGAACAGTTTGAATGCTTATGGTTAGATGACTGAACCAGTTTACAGTAGAGCACTGGAGATGGTAAAATGGTTCTGCTGAGAAATAGCAGTTTTCCAGTTTGCATGATATAAAAATTCAAACAGAATTTAATCAACAGAGCTAATGGGAATAGACGACGATGTGGCTAACATACTAACATACCAAATGCATTCCATTATCGCACTAAACTGCCTAAGGTTGTTCCTGTGTACTTTTGAGAAGACAACATTACTACAAGAGAACTCATGAAATCATGAGACGTCAACACATGTGTGACCCACTGGAAAGTGTCAACTTGAAACTCACTCTCGGGCTGTGTCACCATGGTCAAAGTCTGGCGTAGTTCACCATCGGATGAATCAACCAAATGACCTTCAAACCGGTAAGGTGTGCATTGATCCAAATTACTCAGGTCACGTTTTCTAGGATCCAATTCGTCCGACGAAATCTGTGTACTCTTACTGTTCAAAGTATTCGTGTAGGTAATTATGACTGGTTTTTCGGTAAGTAACTGTAAACTGTATCCGGTATGCGTAGGTACAACATCGAAATACATGGTTTCTGTAAATGTAAGAACATAGATTGATGATTCGCTGGCGTTTGCTCAAAATGCGTGATGCAAGTCATACGTTTCTGATACATTCAATCCTTGTCACGATGACTTACAAAGGTGATCATCATATTGCAAATTTATTCTGTTAATTTGGAAATTGCATACCCTCACACGATTGTGTAACAGTCGTCGTTGTACTGTGCGAACGTTCTCATTTCTTATTCACTCAAGCTCTATGAGAAACAATTTGTAATTGGAAAAGAGACCGCTTGTCCCTCCCGTAAAATTGCGCCAGATGACCTAATTTCACTGGTATATATGTTCTGAATTATGAAACGCTTTTCATGACTGAGGTTGGACGGAAGGACAAAGGTCATAGTATTGCTCGAGAGAAATCATAGTAACTTCCCTGGTTGAATTGTCACTTACCTCATATAACATTTATTTCAAATCTGACTGGGTTCACACTGTGTGCCAAAAAAATCACCGCACAACAAACTTTACATCTACGAAATGTTTCCATGATTGCTCAGTATATGAAATTTTTGCCAAATTGTCTGGGCTGAGGCATGCGAACGTTCCTGGTTGATTCACATCTAAAGCCCTGGTCTAACCAAAGCCTGACCTCCAAGGTGGCCCAATGGTGTGTGATAATCGCAATCCATTGGGGGCTTTGTTGAATCATAGGCTTTTTGGACATGGTAAAAGCCTCCAAGGTGCCAATTCACATGGACGGCCAGTCAGTCTCGAGATCACTACCAGAACCAGAACCGATTCGCCGACCGCACAAATATATTGATCTTGGATTTGTCTGGGTTCAAACCATGAATGACTAAGCCTGGCCACTTAGTTTCCGAATTTATGAAGCATATGAAGCACACTGAGGAAACATCGTTCTCCCTTTGCTACCTCGTTTTCTCGGTCACAATCCGATTGAACCTATTTGAAACGACAAGGTTGAATAGAGATTGACGAGCACGAAAAAGGTTTCTAAGAATAAATGGGTAGTAGTATTGCTACAATTCCTTGTCCCTGAAATTACCACCAGCGTCAATTTGGCAGTTAATGAGGTTGTCCAACACTGATAAAATGTTATTGATCACTGATCAACAGATGATCTGCTTGCTCTGAAGGTGTGTCGCGAGATTTCGTGGTCTGTATCTCCGAACTGAGCATGATGTAAATGTCTGTGCATTATGGGGGGAGGAAATGTTCTCCCCTACGCGCATTTGGTAATGACACTGAAGGAGGAGCGTAAAATGTAGAAAGCTATCATCAAAACGATTAATCGGCAAATTCGTCCCAAACTCACCGGAACTCTCAGGGATAATCCAAGGTTTGCTGAACACGGACAACATTCCATTTGGGAATATTTTACGTATGAATAGGTTACAATCAGGAGCTGGTTCAATAAGAAACCGTCCGTAGTACCCATACCAACGGGTCTGCATGTTAACACCTTCGGCACAAAATCCGTGTCCTTCATAGAGCGGTGTGAGCTCTGCTGCATTCTTCTCCATCTCAATAAAGACCGTGTCTCCGTACCGTTTTGCAGTTACAATTACCGGTTGCTTTTCATCTTATCAAATTAACACAATAGAAATGAAAGGATTGAAATAATACTCGTGTAGATTTAGGTAAATCAGTTATTGAAAGCTGACAGACAGACCACAATGTCAACAGAGTTTGGTATGGACAGTAGTGCACTCAATAAGCTAATGCACAATTGTTTGACCGTGTAGGGATGGCCAAACAAGTCATGACACCCGATATATGTCCTGATTAAACTAGGGCTGATCAAAACGTTTCAGGATTCAGAAAGTGTTTTATTCGTTACACAAAAACAACCATTACATTTTATCGAAGCCTGTTTCACCGGTGTTCATGCACAGTTTCATGCGCTCAAACCATTTGGTGAAACAGCTGGACCATGTCGAAGCGAGTAACCCTTTGACTAGTTCAATGAACCCCTCCACCGCAGCTATTGGTAACTCGTATCGGATTCCAAGCAACATGCGCTTGACATTCGGGGGCATATGAAGGTCACACGGAGCCAGATCCGGACTGTAGGGTGAATGACCAATTTACACAAGCGTTCTGTAACCAGAAAAGCGCCGACGACATGGGACCTGTGTGCGAGTGCGTTGTCATGGTGCACCAGACTCTCTCTTGCCTGAGTCCTGGGACGACGCCTGGTAACAGCTGTCAGCACTTTCGGTAGATAGTGGGTGGCGTACCGGTCTCCGATGACTGTGTTTTCCTGTGCGAGCGGTACAGTGGTCGCATGACCGCTTTTGGCCATGAACACAGCCATCATCTGCTTTGCCATGCT